GGTTGAGAAAGAACGGGGGGCTTTTAAAACCAAACCTGCTTTCTATCCGGATAGCTGATCTGACAGGCAGAGAAAAGAACCAGACTTTCTCCACCTGCCCTTTCCTCAAAACAGGCGCTTGCTGTCTTTTGGCAAAGGAGCTGGCCAAAAGGCTGATCTCAGGGTCTCAGCTCCTCTGGCAGGAGAGCCCTGCCTACCTTTCGACCTGAGAGATGGCGCGCGCTCACCCCGACCAGGATTCCCCCAGCAAACTGGTGGAACTAGGAGGCGAGCCTGCCAAGGGACTCACCTGCCTCCACGGCCACGGAGGGCTTCAGTGCTGCTGCTGCTAACCTCGCCATCATGGGCGAAATCAACCCTTTGCTGGCAGAGATCTTCTCCATTATGGACGCTGCTGGAGTTGGCGAAGAGGTGGCCGCCGCCTCGCCAGAACCTGAGAGGGCCGGGGAAGGGGAACTGGCCGAAGACGCTGGATTGGTACTGGGCGTGCCGGCGGCTAGCAAGCTCGTGGAGCTGGCAGGCAGCTGGGCCGAGACCCGGCTGGGAAGGATGGGGAAGTAGGAGCCCGCCGCTCCCGGAAGCGCTGCGTTGGGGAGGGCCAGGGCCAAAGGGATATTGCTTGGGAGAGCTTGAGAGAGCAGGGCAGGGATCTTTGATGCTGACGGCATACTGTTTGCGGGTTTGCTGGAGGCCTGCGAGGCAGCCAGCTCTGCTGCCGACGAGGGGGTGCCCGGGACAATCAAGGAGACGGAAGACTGCTGGCTGGTGGGAGAGGCACTCAGGCTGGAGTTCTTGGAGCTCATGGCCGAGAAGTCGATCAGGTCGTCGTTGCTGGACTCCTCCTGCTCGTTCTCCTTGGCGCCCAGCAGGGCCGTGGGCAAGCCCAGCACGCCCGAGCTGCGGATGTGGCGGCGCTCGTGCTTGCGCTTGTGAGAGGTCATCTGGCTGGTGGAGGTGAAGGTGAAGCCGCAGCCTGGCCGGATGCAGTGGAAGTGGTTGGTGGCCTTGCTGTAGACGCAGCCCTCGTACTTGCACTCCTCGTACTTGTAGAACTTCTTGAAGCCATCCTTGGCGTAGGCGTCGTCCTTGATGTGATAGCTCTTGTGCTTCTCAATGTCACACTTGTTCTTGAAGGTGAATGTGCAGCCGGGCCGCCTACAAGAGGGAAAAGGGTGGATCAGGCCCAGGGCCCGGGCAGCAAGCGTTCCGCTCACCTGTCCCTCCAGGACTGGAAGTCCTGTCGGAGCGAGAAGCCAGGCAGCTTAGTGGAATCCTGCCCTTGCACCTTGGCTCTGCTGTTGTCTTGCCAGTCCTTTCACTGGGGACTGAACTGAAACCTGTTAGCAAAGCAGCGATACAGCTACATGACACCCTTCCAAGGCCAGGGGCTCTGTCCCCCAATGCCATCTAGGACTATTGGCTGAAATAATGGCTTTCATGGAAGAGAAGATCTTGATTTGTAGCTGGACTTTAGTTCTTTGGATCCCACTTTTAAATCTGTGGGCCAGCATTAATGTAGAGATACATTTCTGGGGCTCCGAGAGCTGCTTCTGTGAGCAAGCAAGCCACATCAGAGCTAGGGATTCCAAAAGGCCCAACTTGTCGCACTCGGACACACCTCATTTGGCCCGCCCATCTTCCTGACTGCACTTTCCCCTCAAATGCTCAGATCTGGATCCGGATTGATCGCCATAAATGTCCTTTGCCTGATGCAGCCAAGTTACGCAAAGGCCTTGTTAACATCTCCAGCCTGCGACTCTGTCCAAATGCCTCCCTGCCTTGGTCCTAACAGATGTTGGGCAGAGCCCTGGCGTGGGGGTGAACTTTACAGAACGAGGAGATGCCCGCCTATCCAGTGACAATCTTTTTTTTCCTTTTGCACAGTGCCCACCTGCAGTGGAAGTGAGTGGTCTTCTGCCCGTAGAACTGGCAGTCCACAGTGCCGCAATCTTCCGTGGCCCGGAACCGTTGGAACCCATCGTTGATAAGCTGTGTGTTCTTCTTGTGGAAGTTTTCATGGGTCATTACATCAGAGGTGCTGGTGTAGACTTTGTTGCAGCCCACCTGTTGCAAGGGTGGGAGGGAAGCAGGGCAAATGTTTAAAAAGCATCAGGAGGCCCAAAAGGTAAAAAATCAATGTTTTCTGAGTACGGCAGCACTACTATTACTTTTTAAATTTCACTTCCTTCCAGAAGGAGAACAGAAAACATTTTCTCTGGGTACACTGGCTTGCAGATCCCAGTGAGGAACAAACCAAGAAGGGAGGGGACTAAAGGACTGATGTCAGCTCGTCAGGGTCCCTGGCAGAGGAACCCTTTCCCATCGCTTTTGCTAAAGTCGCAGCCCAGAGCCTTCTGCTTGCCTGTAAGCTATGGGCCATCAGCAAAAGAGCCAAAGGACGACTGAGAGATGGGAACTCACTGTGGAAAAGACGGCAGCCCTATGGGGTATCCCGTAGGGGGCAAGTCGCTCTTTCAGCCCCAAATCCCTTCTGTTATTGGGGACGGGGAGCCTTGGCTACCAGAAGGAACTGGCCCGTCGCTTGCTTTATTTTAAAACTGCACGCGTGCTGCGGAGTGGGGATGGAATGCTGAACATCTCTCCCCACCTCTGCACTGCTCTGGGCAAAGGGGGACAACTTGCCATATTGAGTAAAATTCCAGGAGAATCTGACAACACCACCGTGCCCGCTGAAAGAGTTCCTGCTTTCCCTACCTCCGTCTGCGGCTCGTGTGCCAATGCCTGCACCATCTCAGAAGTGAAGCAAACCAAAACACACACGCGCACACACACACACACTCCAGTTCACCTTGGGTTGAGAGAAAAGCATCTGACAAACACCCACGAAGTGCGCGGGGTGGGGAGGAGCGGGGGGAGAAAGCCGCGCAGAAGGTTCTGAAGCTATTTCCAATCTAACAAGGGCCTCTTTCCACCCTGACACCTTGAAAAAAGACAGACCCAGAGTGGTGTTAAAAGAAGAAATTAAACAAAAAACTCCTTGTGAATAATTTGCAATAGGGCTCTTTGTGGTAAAGCATGAAAAATGTCCATTTGTATAAACAACTAACTGCATTTTGTCCAGGCCAATTATGGACATAAAAAGGGGAAGGGCCTTCGCGAGGCCTGTGGTGCAAATGCTGCTATTTAAGAGATTTGCTCTCATTGGGAATTTACAATGTTGTGACACCTTTTTTCTTAACATGGGCATTGGCTTCAAACAAAGGTTTTCAACGTTTGTCCCCCTTTCGGAGGGATCCTTTCCTCCCTGAGGTGTCTGTTGCTGCTCTGCACGCTCACTTCCAGCGGAGGATTGCACGGTGCCCCTGGACCTTGCAAGGACCCCACAGAATTCACCCAGCATACTCCTGTGGCTGCACAGGCTGGGGTGGGCCTGAGTCTGATAGGGAGACCCAAGCGCTCTTCCGGAGACATCAGTAGATGCAAATACCAAACCTCCATTATTCTGCACTTCTGTGCCAACAGCTTAATTCAAAGGAATCATCGCATCACTAGGCCAGCAGCATCTGGCCAGCTGCTTACCAGCCATGAACAACAAGAGCAGCCAGCCTGCAAGGCACCTGAAAGGATTCAAGAGGTTCCTCTCTGCTCCAGGCTGAACCTAAATCCCCATCAAACCCTTCCTTCCTAGCAGAGAGGCTGGTGCCTTCCTCTGATCTTCTTTTTGAATCTGGGCTGCTATTAATATTTGATTGGCTCAGCAGCCAGTTACAAAGGGACAAACCTGGAGCAAAAGAGCAGGCGCTGCACCACGAGGTCACGCTCAACAGAGAGCAAAGCCGCTCTGGAGGCTCTTTGGCTGGAGAAGGAGGCCTCCCGCTGGGAGATGCCCAGTGTGCCACCCTTCCACGAAGGACCTGCCCACCCAAGTCACTCTGGGGGACTCAAAGGAAAAATCCACCGGTTCTCCATTCCCCAACTCACCCAGACATGTTGCCAGCCTGCAGAAAAGGGGATGATTCCCCCAAGGGAAAAGCCATCCCAACCTTTCAGCTCCATTTCAGTGGGGATGAAATAATCGGTCACTGGCTATGGTCCCCATCTAAAGAGGCGGCCTTGGAGAAAAGGCTGGCTTTCCTCACTGTCAGGTCAACGTTGCCAAGGCACTTAGGCAGAGACAGAACAAAGGGGCGCAAGACATTTTTGGGATCGAGGGCCAGGCTCGGCCTTTGAGTGGCACGCCAGGGGCTACGCTCCAAAAAGAACGCAGGGCCAGGACAGAAATTAAATTTGATTGGCTCACTGAGAGGTAAATATCATTACAATGTTATTAAAAAACCCTTTAAAAATACTCTGAAAGGCTGCTGTGCTCTCTTCTGCCCTGGCCTTGCCGTTGTGAACTGTCCTGATTTCCACTGGGAGTTTTGATGCCAGCATATCTGCAGTGGAGGAAGGAAGCACACCTGAGGAATTTATTTACTGGATCCATCCCCCTGCTTTCTGTCAACAAAGCAAGGTGCCAGCAATAAAAGCTGCCAAGTACAAACCACAGAATAGAACTAAAACGACCCTCAAATGCCTCAGTCGAAGGGGCTTCCACCCCGAAGACCTCCCTGACGACAAGGGCTCTCTCCCGGCTGGCCTCTCTGGGCCTCCCAGCCTGGCAAAGGAGGGTTGGGTGGTTACCTGCATGCAGTGATAGTGTGTGCTTTTCCCGTTGAGGTGGCAGCCGTGATAGTAAACGCTGCAGTCATCCAGGGGGCTGAAACGCATGAAGCCGTGCTGTAGGGAGTTATCCCGTTTCTTGTGCATGTTGTAATGCCGGATCACATCTTGCTTACTTGTGAATCTCTGATGGCAAGAGGGAGAAGCAGAGGGTGAGGGAGGCACCAGAGCAAGAACAGCCCAGGGATGGAAATGTGGAAGAAATGCCCTTGGCAGCTAAATGCAACCATTTCGGCTATTTAGGTGGCCCCTAAGGGGGGTTTCACGGCAGACAGAAAATAGGGAGGGGGGAAATACGCTCCCATGCAATTTGTATGCAGGTATGAATTTCTGACATGTGCTGGAAAGAAACCTGGCCAACGCAGGGGCTAAGTCCACATAACACGCTTAGCCGAGATCAGCTAGAAATGTAGCATCTGCCTGTGTGCGTGCATGCGTGCAACATGTTAAACCTGGATGGTTTTAATCCAGTTAGGCTTTTTTGTGGCATAGCCAGATGAGCAAACCTAGTTTTGGGTTGTACAAGCACAGAAAATAAGTTCATTCCGTAGCCCTAAGTTAATTCTCTTTTGAAATTAAAGGCAAGCCCTGATTAAAGGACTGCAAGCTGGCTAAATCTGCAGAAGCAGGTTGCAATTTGGTGTCTGGGTGTGGGCTCCCCCTCAAGGCCATCTGCCCACATCCCCAAAGGTTGACCACCCCGAAACACGGGCAAAGAGGCAACTGGGCGAGTTTAGCTCCTGGGATGGGGGTGGATCTTCTGGATGCTGAGCAGAATGTACACAGATGGGGAAACGCACCCCCCTCCTCCAAGCCCTCTCTCTTCAAAAGGAGAATTAAATCTCGATCCGGCTCTACTGCTTTTATTAAACTTCGGGATTTACACAGGAGCGGCAAAGAAGCTCCAAGGAGTGATTTCCCTGAGGCGTTATTCTGTGGAGATTCTGTTGCCACACACTGTTAATTTGCAGCCACTTACTGCTGTGTGTACATAGCTAGCAGGATCCTCCACGTTTGCCAAAATCGCCCCAAACTTCACACCTTCATGGGACTGGGCCGTCCTTTCTAAAGCAGGGACTGCTCCACGGCGAGAGCCTTTCCTTCATCTCCTCTCTCTTCCTTGGGTGCTACTAAGGGCTCGCTCGTCAAAGACACACCTCCCCACCCCGGCTGAATTCTCACTGCCCACATCCCCACTGCCATCAACAGAAACTCACAGCCTGTCAGGCTTGGGGAAACCGAGCCAGTTTCCCCGGCTGCAGTTGGAGGTGTGCCTCCGAGACTGGAGAATGCCAGGGAAGAAATCCATTGCAGCAATCCCTGGGAATCCCGTCTATCACGCCCCCACCGCCCTAATGCTCAGGAGGGCCTGACCACAGAAACAGCAGAGTCAAACCCAGGCCTGAGTGCAGGGTAAACAAATGCGGCGTGTGACAGAGCGCTGGGCTGACGATTCTCTTCTGGCAGCTCTCCCAGCAGTTACAGCTTCTGTCCCTTCCTCGACATCCTGCTTCTCCTCCACCCCCAGCCCTCCCTTAAACTTGATGGCAGGAGCCAGGACAGCGCTGGTCACACCGGGCGCCCTGCTCCAGTGGCTACTGAAACATCCTTGGCTGGCATGCCGGAGAGGGATTAACGTCACGCACTTGGTAGGAGAGGCCAGATTGAAGGAGGAATCCGCTAGCTAATTCCACACATCTCCATTATCGTGAGAAGCTAAGCCCACCTGCATTTATTTAAAGATGATCGTTCCTTGGGAAAATACTAGAATGGAGCATTTGTATGCACCACGGGACTGTGTGACAATTACACATCAGAAGTCCATAAAGTATATTTGGAATGGTACCAACTAGCTGTTTTTATGAGTAGCCCTGACACAAGCTGAGACTGCAGACCAATTCCAATGACTGCTCGACGTGCGCTGTTTCTTTTTCCTTACTAGTGGCTCTAGGTCTAAAATTAACCCCCCATTTTATTTCCTTCTCCTTTGCACTACTGCCAAGAACATCACTTGCATTAGC